CAAACATTTTAAGCATGGTTATCCCTGGGTGGTCAAAGAGCAGACAGTTTTAAGGTTTTCCTTTTTTCTCTTTCATGTGCATTTTTTCCCTAATTTATGTACACTCAGTGTGTCTCAGACATGCAATTTAAAGGTTATCAAATGACATTTCAATGTAAGTTTTGTAAAAAATCAACCTACAGGGTGTCTTAATGTAATAATAGGTATTTTAGTCAATGGCTATGGGTTCTCTCTCTTACAAAAGTTAGGATTGTTGCATTTTTCTAGAAGTGACATAGTGCTGGTATGGTGAAAAGACCCAGGTTTGTAAGAGCAGCTTTCTCCTTACTGATTTCTAGGTCTGAATCCTGGAAAGCTTTAGTGTCTGTGTCTGGAGGGGTCAAAAAAGTGATGCTAATTTCACTGCCCTTGATAGGAAAATGAGACTGAAGGGAATCTATTTATAAGGGGCAGGATTCTATGCCAATTCTATGCCTTGTCTCATACAACGAGATCTACAAAATCTTTTGTTCTCCTTCTTTCTTTTCTTAACAGCAATAGATAAAAACCTAGTCTTTCAAGAAATGCATGGATAACTTTACCAATGTGGGACAATTTGTGTAATAATGAGTGACTTTCAAGTCCATCCTCAGATCATAGTATCAATAGTAATTTGCTTAAAAAAGAAAAAGCACAAACTATTATACCTAGCGTGAAGATAGAGTTGAGTTTGGTGATATTTATTATGCTAGGTGGGTGGTCCTCTTTTTTTTGCTTTTTACCAAACCATTGCTCTTGCACTTTGAAATAGAAGATATTAGGTACTGTCATTAGGTAGCAAATTAGACCAAATACGTAAAAATATCTCTTAACTTTTTTTGGTGAGAAAATAGGTACAATTCATTTTCTTGACTCTCTTTCAACTAAAGAAATGCATTCTGCTAACCTGAAAATAACACCTCATTCTTGTGGGATGAATTATCTTCCACTTTTTCTTTTAATATTACATAAAATTTATGGCATTAGTGAATTTAGTGCCTTTATAACTATTGGTAGAAGAAAAACTATTGGTTTTTTTCTTCAATATGAAAATCGATCAGGAAATAAAAGTATGCTCTTTCTGTATGAGAATGCACTTGTTTTGTCAAATGTTGAATTTGAACATGATCAGAAACTCGAATTTAACGTCAGCCCCTGCTATACCCTCTGGGGAGGCAGGTAGTTGCTTTTTACTTGTTTTTCATTTCGTTTTGTTTTGTGGGAGGTGGTTTTTGTTGGTGGTGGTTGGCCGGTTGGTTTTGCTTTGTTCTTCCATGTTTTGAATGTATTTAGCTCAAGAATGTTTGATGTGGAGTCAGACTTGTACTTTTGAATGATGTGTCATTTTTTCCCCAAGCAAAAAGTTCATGGAAAAACCTAAATTTAGATAGTTAGAAGAACATTCTGCTAAGTGGAAGAAGCCAGTCACAAAAGACCACGTACCGTACAATTCCATTTATAAGAAACATCCAGAATAGGCAAATCCATAGAAACAGAAGTGGATTAGTACTTGCCAGGAGCTGAGGGGAGGGGAGGGGAGGGGGTAAGAGTTGGGGGTGGGTAGTGATAGCGAATGGGTACAGAGTTTCTTTTTGAGGTGATGGTCACACAACCCTGTGAATATATAAAAAGCACTGTACTCTACACTGCCTTGTGGAGGCAGACAGGGTAAGTGGTCCGGGGCCTGCCCACCTCTCCTTTTCTCCCACTCACCCCACTCAGGGCTGCCTGAATTAAAACCCGGGGTATGGCTTGAAAACCACTGGCTCTAGTGGTGAATCCTTTTTACTGCCAGATGAAGGTGGACCAAGTAAAAAGCTGGAGGCTGGTATTTCCTCATATATTAACAATGTGTTAAGAGCAGACCTGGAAATAAATTGCATCATAAATGCTTATCCTTGCATAGGGGCCACCTTTTTGTACTTCTGTCATAGAAAGCTTCTTCCCTTCTTCGCTTTACCAAAACATTCAGGGAAAATATCTACAAATACAATGATCTGCAGCTGTGATACCCATTGCTAGAGGCCCAAATGTCCTTTACAGTAGATGATATGTCCTTTTGGCTTTATTCTCAGCCAGAGATATTCCGTCTCTAAAAATGTCCTTCTTTATTCCCAAATGTCTTTCTTATTTCTCCTGTTCTATCTGGTTAGATCTTAGCGCCCCCAAACCATCATCTCTCTTAACAATATTTTGCCTTAGGTTCGTTTTCATTAATAGCTTATTTTCTATACTTCTTTATATTTGGAAGGATCAGTACCTAAATAACTATAGATATTATATGGTTTATTCTGTGTTATTCAGGAAAAGATTGAACATTGTGGGTCTGATGGCAAGGCCTTGGGACAATGTGGGTGGTCCTTGCTATACTTTTTTTTAATGAGATAAAAATTGATGAACTTTAATTATAAATAAGTTGCTTATTTATGTTTCTTCTCTGCTCTGCAAGCCTAGAGAATCAAAAGTTCCCTTAACTGTGTACTAGAAACAGACACATTTAGGTAGAATAAGAGCAGATGGAAAGCTACAAACTACATAAGGGCTGACTCAGAATTTAGTTGTTTTAAAAAATAATTATATTTTTTTTAAGCTTCTGTTTGCAAAACAAGTTGGTATGAGTCCCGGGGATGCTTGCCATGAAGGAAAAGATGATGGACTGGGGAGGGTGCAAGTAGAGGGGGGCAGGCAATAAGTAAGCAGTGTATTTAGCATAGTATTAGAATAATAAACCATTATTCTAGAAAAGTCCTCTGGTTTTGTTTTGTGAAGTGATTGGAGTGAGGTCTATCCAGGTTTGTATTAAAAGCCAACTAGCAGGGGCGCCTGGGTGGCTCAGTCAGTTAAGCGACCGACTTCGGCTCAGGTCATGATCTCACAGTACATGAGTTCGAGCCCCGCGTCAGGCTCTGTACTGACAGCTCAGAGCCTGGAGCCTGCTTCACATTCTGTGTCTCCCTCTATCTCTGCCCCTTCCCTGCTCATGCTGTGTCTCTCTCTGTCTCAAAAACAAATACATTAAAAAAAATTTTTAAAAAAGCCAACTAGGAGTCCAACGACTAAGGTTTTAATTGAGTCCTCCGCAGGTAATGCAAATTTATTAAATACATCTTCAGAAGGACTAAAGTTGGCATCTGTATAACATATTGCAAATAAAAACTAGAATTGGTGATAACTGAGGCTTAGGGAACAGTTTATAAGATGGGAAGAGGGAATGGGGTTGGGATAGATTTCAGCCCATGTCACCCTAAGTGATTATTAACTAATCACCTTGACATGGCTAAGGAAACAATAACGTTTTATACTGCATTAAAAATTTAGTCCATGTTTGGGAGCCTGGGTGGCTCAGCCAATTAAGCATCCGACTCTTGATCTCAGCTCAAGTCTTGATTGCAGGGTCAAGAGTTCAAGCCCCACATTGGGCTCCATGCTCAGCAATACCCACCCCCCCAATAAAATAAGAAAATAAATATATATTAAAAAATAAGTATAAAAGTTTAGTCCATATCATTCTTGGGAACGACAGATGGGTAGTATTCCTTACAATATCGCGGCCTGCTCTTTCTCTTATGTTATTGCTTTCTCATGTTCCATACTTCAATATATGCTGGCTCATGTGAAGTCATTAGACTTGTTTATTCACCTTAGTGGAAACCATGTTATATCCAGAATGCTTCATCATCACTAAACATTTAGTATCAAATTGCAACTCTTTCAGTAATAGGAATCAACCAATAACATTGCCAAAACTAATTTTACTTCATGGCCTAAGTTTTTAAATATTGGGGAAGTGAGCTAAGGACGGTTTATTTTCAACAGAAAATAAAAAATTATAAACTGATTGCTGGATGTGTTTAATGATGAGTCCTGATTGCCATGTTATTTCATGACACGACTTGTTATTCCAAAAATACATAAAGCCACTGAAACTGTTTGTTATTTCATTGCATGAATTTATATCTGCTCTAATTTTATTGGAGCTAGATATCTCCGTCCATTTTAATGGGAGAAGTATAATTTTTTCATCCTCCTAGACAACATCTGGGGAAGATGTACGAGACTTCACAAAGGTGCTGAAGAATAAGTTCAGATCAAAGAAATACTTTGCCAAACATCCTCGGCTTGGCTACCTGCCTGTCCAGACAGTGCTTGAGGGTGACAACTTAGAGACGTAAGTTCAACTTTAATATTAAAACTTCTATGTACTCTTTTATCTGATATTGTCTTTTATTATGTTAGTGACACCCAGAGAAATTATCTGATACCAGAAAGAATTTGTGTTTTGGTAAAACGTTTCATTTTAAAAGAGGTAAAACTAAACTCGGAATCAGTCTTCACAACATGAATTTTTACTGTTGGCTTTTGATAATACCATGGCTAAAATTTTAGGTTTAATTTTGCATGTGTTCCTCCACTTTAAAAACACGTATTACTGTGTGTTCAACCTTTGCCTTGGTCATGTCCTTTCCTCTTAAAAATACTTAGAGCCAATTGTGGTATATGCTGTTTCATTACCTTACTCATTTCCCATTTTTCCTCCTTTGGGGATATTTTTGCTATTTTATGAAGTATGTGTTGCACTTATTTTACATGTTAAAAATTTTTTTTAGTGTTTTATTTTTGAGAGAGAGAGAGAGAGAGAGAAATGGAGTGTGAGCAGGGGAGGGGCAGAGAGAGAGGGCAACACAGAATCCAAAGCTGTTAGCACAGAGCTCAGCATGGGGCTCCAACTCATGAGCCATGAGATCACAACCTGAGCCAAAGTTGGACGCTCAACCAACTGAGCCACCCAGGTGTCCCTATTTTACATGTTTTTAATGTAAATATATTAATAATATTGAGTCTCTTGCTTTTGATATACCTGTGCTAAAATCACATCAAAATCTTACATTTCTAATTTATTTTCTCTTGAGCATGAAGACAGTAAAACAAGATAGCTGTATACGGTACATAGACAAAATTTCTTTGAAGTATGTAATTCAATTTTATAAGCATGAATGAAACAAAGTCTCAAGGTAGCAAAATTACTATGGCATTATAAGGAAGAGTAGCAATTGATAGCCTGAAATGAAAAGAAAAATAATTTTTAAAACAAGCCAGAAGAAATGCAAGAAGTAATTTTAAATTACTAAACAATTATATATCAAGATCAAAATAGGTCTGATTTTAAATTTTTGAATCATATTTTATTTTGTTTTATTTTAAGAAAGAGAGCATGTGTGGAGGGGAGGGGCAGAGCAGGGGGGAGAGAGAGAAAGAGAGCGAGGGAGAACGAGAGCGAGTGAGCGAGAGAGAGAGAGAGAGAGAGAGAGAGAGAGAGAGAGAGAATGAAAATCCCAAGCAGGCTCCATGCCCAGTGCAGAGTCTGACCTGGGGCTCAATCTCACGACTGCGAGATCATGCCTGAACTGAAATCAAGGGTCTGCCGTATAATTGATTGAGCCACCCAGGTGCCCCTGAATCACTTTTTAAAATATCAGCATAAACATGACTTCCGTGGCAATTTTCTTACACTCCAATCTTGGGAAAAATGAACTTTTATTGCTAGTCATTAGTAAAGTGCCTAGTCATAAAAATAGTGATGTTCTAGTTACAGAAAGATGCCCTCTCAAAATGCCTATAGAAAAGAAACTCAGAAGTGTGAAGTTTTCTACATTATACAGTAGAAAAAAATATATAATAAGAAGTATTAAAAAGTGTGTTGAGTGCAATTTTTGTGCAATCAGTCTTTCTTTCTTTAACCTTTAAAACCCACTGTTCATTTTATTGTGTATCTGAGAGATAAGCAGAGAGCAGTAATAGTCTAGTATTAGGACAATCCATGTCTCAAAGATTTCAAAGTAGAGGACAGGCTATTTGGCCTGGATTTTTTTCCATATAAAGCCTTGTAGAACACTGGCTTTGCTGCATTTTTGTATAAATGTATGTTGTGGGTTTTTTTGTTAATTTGTGGAACTTCTAAGAAGCAAAAGAAAGACCACAGCCAAAGCACAGTAGATATTTCATCGCTCCGTAGGTACTGTTATGGGTGCACAACTGTATATGTTGATAGATCCAAAAATAGCACATACGCATTTAAAGCATACAAAATATTTCAAATTTTTTGACAACTTTGATATCAAACTGTGTACAATTAAAATATTATGCCTCCCAGTTATTTTTTTCACAGTACATTTTAGAACAAATTTTGTTGAAGCAATCTCAGTTTAAAGAGAGCTATTCATCTGCTTAAAATCCATAAGGAAAAGTAGATTTTTGGTTCTCTCTTTGTTTTGTGGGTCCGTATTTGTCCTTTTCTTTGAAAGGTTTTATGTTATTACATTCTTATTTGTTTTACTATGTAATACACAGTTTAACTGTGCTGAACACCCCATGATAAAGGCACAATTTTACTTCCCTTGGTATCAGATCTAATTAACCTTTGCAGTAATGCCTGAAGCATAGAATTATCACATAGCTTTTTTTTTTTTTATAGGATAATTTGATAAGTTTGAACTAGTGATGTGCCTTTCACTCTTATGATAAACCATTGGTATTTTGTGTCCCAATATCTACATCCTTCATATGAATCATGCAGGTCGATTCATCTTTTTTTTTTAATTCCTTTTAAGCATTTTTGGTAACTTTTCTTTTAATGTCAAAATAATCATTGACATCAATCATTCTATTCTGAGTGACTCAGTTAAAGTAAAAAAAGAACAGAAAAACATGCCAAATAATTTTGTGCTATGATTTTTGGCTGTAATTCTGAAAATGCTTCATTTCATCTATCATGAATTTACCAGCATTTTCAGAGAGAGGAAAACAAGAGAAAGAAAGGAAAGAGTATAAGATTAAATCAGATGTCACAAGATTCTTTTTGAAAAAGATTTATGAGATACTGGATAGAGTGGGCAGGTTTTCTTTTTTAAATCATAGAACGTGTTTTTGGAGTTGGTATAGTTCATTTTTCTGCTGAGCCCTTTCTAGTACAGGGCCACTTAATCTTCTGGTGTAACAATTTATGTGAGTGGGTAGTAAAGTTTGATTTCATTTATTCTCCTATTTGTGGGAGAACATTGGAGAAAAACCAGCCAAGTGGTAAATGTGTTAAAGTTATTTATGAAGCTGATTGGAATTTTCTCTTGCTTCTTTCTTTTTCATCCCTGCAAAATGTAGTGTCTTATCCTATCCAGTAATGAGATATGCGCGCATGGAGGGTATTTAGGGGAAAAATGAGTTACTACTAAAAGAAGGTAAACAAACTCATGCTTAGGTTTATTCAGTTAATTTTGTAACTGTGTGCAAGAATTTTCAAAAAATAAATCAACATAAATGAGTAAAACTTGATTAAAGAGTTACCATTGAGGGGCACCTAGTTGGCTCAGTTGGTTAAGTGTCTGACTCACAATTTCGGCTCAGGTAATGATCTTATGGTTTCGTGAGTTCAAGCCCCACGTTGGGCTCTGTGCACTGACCCTAGGAGCCTGCTTGGGATTCTCTGTCTCCCTCTCCCTGTGCCCCTCCCTCACTTATGCTCTCTCTGTCTCTGTCAAAATATATAAACTTTAAAAAAAGGTTTAAAAAAAGTTAGAAAAATTTGCCATTGAACATAAACCTAAGAAACAAGCTAAAATAGTGACAAAAATAATTTGAGAATTTTGAGAGATTATTTTTGGCTAAAAGGTAGGTTGGTTTCCTTAAAGATTAAAGAAGTAAAATAGACACTTCTGCCTGATGTTGGTTAAAGTGGAATAAATGAGTTTCATTGTTCTTTTGAGTTCTTACTGTAGCAAGAACCAACTCGTAGTCAAGTGTAACTATGGTTGTGGAGCACTGGATTGGAGGAGGTGACAGCTAACCTGAGACCTGGAAGATTAACAGAGCTAGACCTGCAGTGTTTGGTGTGGATGACGAAAGGGAGAGTTTCTAGGCAAGGGAAGTATCTTCAAAAGCCCAGAGACAAGATCATTCTGGAAACTAGGGTGGGAAGCTGGGAAGAGTAGCAAGAAATAAGAGAGGAGAGAAAAGCAGGACCTACCTAATCAGGGGCCTTGTAAATCATGCCAAGGTGTTTGGGTTTTATCGTGAAAGACATAGGGAGCCATGGAGGGTTTATATGTGAGAGCACCCTGGGACCCCACTTACTCTGGAGCAAATGGATCAAAGAAGGCAAAAGACGGGAAGCCTAAGGCATTAAAAGAATCGTTAAGTTTTTCAAGGAAAGTCTGGATCGTATTTCATGTTATATGAAGTATATTTAGTAAAGAGTCTGATTCTTTGCATATTAGTGTGTGATTAACCAAAACACCCTATTCAGCCACCACTCTGGAAAGGAGGGATAGGCTACATTATTAACTGTGGACTAACACATAGATCGGTCTTATTTTGAACCCTCTTAAATTATAGACTCTATAACTATGCTGCAGTGAGGATATTGCCTTGTTTTTGTCTCCCAGAATTAAATGAGAAGATGTATCACTTAACCTTTCTTTCTCTACAAATCAAAACACTTTGAAGTCAATGAAGCCTTCAGTTTGACTTTGTTAATCTTTATTTCTTTTCTTAGACATGTTCTCAATATATAAAAAACTTACTTTTGATAACTTCTTTGGTTCAGCCTTCTACCTCTGCCATTCTTATCGTAGTTCAATGAATCATTTTTGTGCTGACTGCATTAACTTCACAAGAACTAGTCATGTGGTTTCACAGAGCTTTTCCAGCTTCAATTAAGATCAGAAATACATATTTCTCTCATGCTTAAAGTTCACTGCAAATGTTGTAGTACACTTGAGTTTCAGAAATGCTCTCTCGAGGAGTTATTATTTTTTGGAAAGTTTATAGTAAATCATTCACGTAACATTTAACATCCGTATCTATGGAATAACACTGTGTTGTTTCATTGTTGTTTTAACTATCTTACATGTGGATGATTAAGTCTATTTACAGATATTCTGACAGACACGGCCTGGATAAATGCCTGTTTTTGAAAGGAGGTCCAAATAGTCTTAGTTTTTCATCCCAGTAAGATGCCCTTCATCTCTTAGTCTTTGCTATTCAAACATCAACTTGTGCTTCCAGCAGGAGATAATGAGATCATTAACTTTTTCTTAAGTTTGTATGTATAATAGAAATAGAATCAAGTAGATCTAGAATGATTTAAACTTTCCTCCTTTGTTTCAATCAACATGAGCTCTTGCAGGAGACTTATTTAATTAAATAGAGAACTCATTTCCTTTAGACTTTTAAAATTCCCATATTCATCAGTAGCTCTCCTAGGGTCCCCCAGGGTCAGGAGTGGTACTGAATGATCAAGCTCCAGAGTCAGGCCTGACTCAAGCCGAACACATTTCCTGATATTATCAGTTTCAGAGATTCAACTTCCGGAAAGAATTTTGTGTGAAGAAAGCGCATCACCATCCAGTTGCTTTCAGCCTTATTGATAATGTAAAAATTTGGGGCTGGGTATAGGGGAGAGGATCTAGGTAACATCTTCTTTCAGTGTCTCTGTGAGTTGTGATACTCTGTGTACACGTGGATTCGGATTTTTACATTGAAAACTGGACAAAGAATCAGAACAATCTCACATTACTGCAACGCTGCCATCAGTGGATAATATAGTCTTTGGAATTTAACTTTATCTTTCTGACCAAGTTTCTTCTCCGGGAAGAACAAAAATCTGATTGCATCATCCCTTGGTATATTATGGAGCATTATGTTTAAACTTATTGCATGAGCATTTTTGTTTCTTTTTTTTCCAATAAGACCATTTCAAGATGTGTTTGCTGTCCTGTAACAAACATCCTGTAATATTTGTGAAAAGCTCCCGCAGGCACTTGAATACACAGCATCTTCTCCAGAACAAACAGGGACTTTGTGTTACTTTTGATTTCTCCCCACCCCCGGTGCACCTCGGGGCGACCAAACGTGAGAGTAGAAGGCAGTTGAGAATGCCTTCTCCCCCAGCCTCCCGCTGCTCTTGTCTGAAATCGCTCTCGAGTGCTAGTTCTGTGACTTCTGTTTCCCTCTCCCCCTCTGCAGTCCTGTGACACTCATCAGCATGTGGCCAGAGCACTATGAGTGAGTATTCACAGCTCCGTCTGCAGGAGCCGGCACTCTGATCGGTGTCATTAGCAGGGGGGTGATTATGAAACTCGTGAACTAAGAGAATAGTCTACCTCCTGGGTAACAATCCTCATGGTTTGTTTGCATGGCAAATTCAGTGTTTAACCAAGCTAACATTCCTAATGGCAACATCTGTCAATATTGGGACATAAAACTGTTTCTTTGCTTTTTCTTTTATAGCCCCTCACAGTCTCCTCAGCTGTTTCATGATGACACCCATTCCAGAATAGAACAGTATGCCACACGGTAAGAGACTTTGATGGGAGCCCTCTGCTGCGCTGCCGCCCAGAACGTATCTATTTCTGTATGAATCCTGTAGCATTAACATGCCTTGATTTAAGGGATGTTTTGTGAGAGTCGTGATTCCATTATATTTGGAATCTGGGCTCTCATCTTTCCATGTTGCAGTTTGCACTTTACCAAATACCTGCAATACATTCTGTGAAGAGTAAATCTCCATGGGATGTGATTATTGAGCTCATGAGAATCCAAACACCATACAAAATAGGATTTAGATAGTGTAACCCAGTTTAATGAATGAGAGTCGGAATTGAAAGTGTTCTCAGGAGATGGTGCACATGTGACTTACCATATGTAATTAAATTTATGCTAATGCTTTATTATAGAGGTTTATTTTAGAGTCCTTAAACAATATAAAGTATCGTCTGGTCTTGATGGCATGCATAAACTTTCATAAACGAAGGGTATAGTAACTATCTCTGGTGCTAGCAAGTAGCTATGCCTAAAGAGGTTAGTTTAAGCATCATATAAATAGTAACATTCAAACTGGGTCTCAGCCAGACAGAATTTCTGGGAAAAGGCAGGCTTAGATTAATGGAAAAATGTACTCAAAAGCATTGAGCTGGGAAAGAACATGGCTTGTTTAAAGAACTGCAAATAAAGGAATGAGGAGTAAAGGAATAGAAGCTCAAGTCAGATAAAGAAGGCCCACTTGCTAAGGAGTGGGGCTATATCTTTAGTAAAAGGGGGGTCATGGAGAGTCTTTAGGCAGGAGAGGAGCATAATCAGATTTCTGAGAATGAAAACCAAACTGGAGGGTCTGGGAAATCAGTTAGGAGCCTAGGTCCCTTAAGAGTCTATATAACATGGTAAAAGATGGAGGCCGACAAGTCTAAAGACAGTGGTGGTAGAAAGGTAACTCAAGATGAGGTATTATTTTAAATTTCCAATCTTGTTAGGAGATTTGGACCTTTTCCTATTTTGTCAGAATCATGACAGTTTGAGAAAAACAGAGAATGGACCTCCAACTGACCATGCCCCGTGTGGCCACACTGTCTAACCTCTTCCTTTTCATTCTTCAGCCTGGCCCAGATGGAAAGGACTAATGGGTCTTTCCTCACTGATAGCAGCTCTACCACAGGAAGTGTGTAAGTAAAACATGAAATTAGCACTGCCTGGGAAGGCTAGTTTCTGTGTCCTGGCTGTCAGAAGTAATCTTCACTGATTGTGGCTCTGAATTTTGATCCCAATCAAAATTGATAAGTGTGGTTACAAAAATGTCTACATAGATTTTATGCTCTCAAGCCGTGATAACATAAGTTGGATATGTTTATTTATTTAGTTTCATGTAAGTTAATGAAAAAATCCTGTATTTATCAACTAATCTGCCTCAGGAAGATCGGATTGTTTTATGTATAAATACAGGTATAGATATTCATTCCATTTGTCAGATACTTCTTGTTGATAATTAACAGACGCATTTCCATAGAATAATGCCCTTCTGTAAAATCCTCTTTTGCTGACTCGCATTTTCTCCATCATCTCTGCCGTTTAACAACTATGACCCACACAAGTTTGGACATATAGTCCCCACTCTTCATTGAAAAATATTGTTTCTCTTGCCAATATTTTATTATCTTAGCAAGCAGGAAAAGCCTCGTTGACTTTAGAAAAATACTCTCAGAAAAATTTTCTAGGCAAATATTTTATCTCTGATTATCCTATTATTGTGTGTAATATTGTTTAGGACCTTCCCTTTTTCTTCCCCCTCCTCGGAATTAACATTTTTTTTTTCATTTTGAATGATATCTAAGAGATTTCAATAGTGTCACATTTACTTGACTTAGGCAGGTTCATTGTTTGGATCTGGTGGGAAGCTGTAGGTAGTCAGGAAAGTTACAGAACATAATACTCAGATGTCTTATACTAAAAAAGGCCATGGAGAGAGCCAAATTGAAATACTTTAAGCACTCTAATACAGAATAGCTTCCTACCAATATTTTTAAAAGTGTTTTACTATCATTAAGCTTATAAATAAAAATGTATGAGGTTTTTCAATTTTAAATTTCAAACATTAGCATGTTAATACTTTACAAGAATACAGTTGTGATTTGTGCATTATTATTCATGTACTATGAATATGAAACAATTCCCAAACCAAGATAATAGCATATTTATAATGCTTGTTTCATATTTAGCTACTAGTATGTATTTTATATAAAGCAGTTAGATATCTGGAGTATCCCCTAAATCAACATAATTTCTACAAGGTTCATAATAGCCAAAGAATTAGATGAAATAAAAAAAAATAGTAATAAAGACCAAAATAATTAAAACCAAATTTAAATTCTTTAAAATGTGTTTGTCATGCCCTCTGAACAGAGTAAAGGTAATGTTCAAATTTAGTACATCCTATCTTCAAATTAAAATAAACACTCTTTTTAAATGTATTACTGATGTCTGAGAAAAAACAATAATCAGATGACTACAAGCTGAATACATTTTAATATACCATCATTAGACATATTAACTCATCCATCTGTCCAACAAATGTTTCTTATATACCCACCATGCAGTTATGTGCTAGGGCCAGTTTTGAGATCTGATGGATACATTTTCAGGAAGTTTGTAGGCTGTTTGTTAAACAGAGCCATTACAGAAATTAATTTGTATACACTTACAATTAAATAAATTAGAGTCAAATGAAAATGAAGGTAATACTCAAAACTCATCATGCCTTAGTCTACCTCATTGTACTATTTCTGTGTTCTTGGGGTAATTAATTGTATTTGTCAGATGGTGTGCAACTGCGTGTCTTTTCCAGACTCTACATTCAGTAAAGTCATTAGTTTGAAATTGGCCTTGGTGAGAGTACTTAAACTGTAGAAATTGCAAAGGCTACAATTCAGTGCCTTTTTATTCATTAATTTTTTGGAAAGCTTGTTAAATGTTTATCAGCATGCCACTGCCATATACCCAGTACTGTAAAAGTCTATAGATGTAAATACTGTCTTCATGAGTCTTATGGGTTAGAGGAGAGATGATTAAGTGTTTCTACAGAGGAAGAGCATGGGAAGGGCATTTTTGGTAGAGAGAATAATGACCCCCAAAAGAAGTCTACATCCTAATCCCTGAAATTTAAGAAGGTGTCACTTTATATAGCAAGATGGAACTTGCACATGTGATTAAGTTAAGGATCTTGAGATGGGGAGATTATCCTAGATTTGGGTGGACCCCATATAATCCCATGAGTCCTTATAAGAAGTGGGGAGGGTCAGTTAGAGAAGGATATCGCCATGAAAGAAAGAGGTCAGATACAGGGAGATTTCCAGATGCTACGCCACTGGCTTTAAAGGTAGAGGAATGGGGGCACCTGGGTGGCTCAGTCGGTTGAGCGTCTGACTTTGGCTCAGGTCGTGATCTCTCTGTCCATGAGTTTGAGCCCCCTGTCGGGCTCTGTGCTGACAGCTCAGAGCCTGGAGCCTGTTTCAGATTCTGTGTCTCCCTCTCTCTCTGCCCCTCCCCCACTCATGCTCTGTCTCTGTCTCTGTCTCTCTCTCTCTGCAAAAACAAAAATAAAACTTAAAAAAAGAAAAGAAAAAATTTAAAGGTAGAGGAATGCAGGTGGCCTCTAGTTACTGGAAAAGGCAAGGAAACAAACTCTTCCTTAAATGTAATATTCAGTTAAGTTAACACTATAAGAACGTATCTATCAGCCACTAAAGTGAAATCTTTTTCCAGTTCCTGGTGCATTAGTATTTTCTTAGTGAATATGTTAGTAAATCTTATTTTGATCAGTCCGGGAAGCCCTTTGCCCTTTCACCATTTGAATTACTGAATATCCTGGGATTCTTTTCCTGCGACCATGGCAGTGACTCCTCTATTTGAGTAAGATTGCGAACAAGGACACCGAGTCATTGAAGTCCTGTGCTGGATCTGGAATCCAGTGGTGTGACGTGGGGTGGTCCACCATCCTCACTTAAATGTGTAATATTTACTTATTTAAGCATTTCCATGTAACCAGTACTATCGACTTGACAAAGTAAGTATTACACATGCTACAATAAATACCTTTTCTCCCAGTGGATAGAGCCTTCCAATGAAGATGCCTACCTTCTTTGGGCTGAGAGCACTCCTCAGAATTTGTGACGGAAGGGTTAGGACCCAAGCCCCACTATTTGCTTCTCTGACTGTCCTTCTGTGTTTCCTATCTAATCATGTAGCATCTTGGATCACGGGATATTAGGAAGAAACGTTTGCTGCTCTCAACAGGATGCCGTCATGCTGTTCCTTCTTTGGTCCCAGTGTATTTGTTTCTTATGGGACCTTCCTGCAGTGGCAGGAAGTATGTAGCACACCGTAACCCTGGCCTTTCCCTGGAAAATTCCTAAAGTCCAGCATTGACAGGGTCATGAAACAATCCTGAGACGATAGATGACAGTTTTCTGCACCACCTAACAGTGTCGCCAGCTTCTAAATGAGGGTTCGGTGGCTCCTCAAGGCAGCTCTTCTGTTTCGCTCTTAGGTCTGTCCTGAGGCAGCCAGCATCAGAATCTTAGCAATTTTCATTGTTGGGAAAAACTAAAAGCTAACTCAGAGTGCCTTAAGCAAAAAAAAAAAAAAAAAAAAAAAAAAAAAAAAAAAAAAAAAAAAAAAAGATGGTATTAGTTAGCAAATTTCTACAATACGTATTGGAATGTTTCTCATTCTTGAATTCTCTACCTTTCCTCCAGGCCCTTTTGAGTGGAGGTTTCTGTCATTCCAGTCTAGGTCATAAAAATATTACTAGGTTTCCTTTGAATAACAACAGTGATGATACAAAACAACCACCATCTCTCCCTCCGTGCAGAGCGTGTTGAGCCAGACGCTGCACTAAGCACTTTGCCATCTTCACTTATTTAATCCTCACAGAACCTTTTGAGATGCTACTCGTGTTTCTGTGACCACCATTTTACGGCTGAATAAACTGAGGCCCTAAGAGTTTAAGGAGCTTGCCCAGGGTTTCATAGTCAGTAGTGGAGCTCAGATGCAGGCAGCCTGGCTCCCAGCACAGGCACTCCCGACCACCCCTGACCAGCTCACTGTGCCGTGGGGGAGGGTTTCCCAGATGGGAGAACTGTGGTGGGGGGTGGGGGAGCAGGTCAGGGCATCTTCATTCCCCCTGGAGGTCATCACATTCCTTGTCCTGCTCCTGCCCATTCTGCACGCACGCTTCTGCTTCACAGTCCAGACCTAACCAGGAGAGTTTTTAATTCAGCCCCTCCAAGACCCATCTCCTAAAGGTACTTTGGGATGGTCTCAGCCATAGGTGATAAAAGAGATCCCTGTGCTTTGAGGTGTGAATTTTGAGATTTGAACTTGGGATTGTAAGTTACCCAAGGTCCTTTTGTCATTTGTGTCTTGAAAAGCAGCCATCCTAACCTGTGGTTTGAGCCTTTTTCTGTCCCTCAAATTGGTCTGTGGAACCAATTCCCTGGCTCCCGACTGCGTTCATCTTCTGTGAAGCTGGTTAATGAGTTGTTGCACTCCCATGCATCTTGGACTTCTGCCTCCCCAGCCTACATGTTAATCAGTCTCCCAGCTCTTCCCTACATACACCCAATTCCCAATGCTCCCTTTCCTCCTGAAAATCTGGCTCTGGATAATATAAAAGGACATTAATTTTGAGGACATTAATTTTTAGGAGGAGTTAAGCATCCATGAGTCAAACAGAAAACAGGACCTAAGATAGTCCTAGGGCATCTCAGTGGCAGGTACTGAAGGATAGATCCCAAGGCCATTGCCATCAGGGTGTCTCTCCCCCCATCTGCTGCCTGCCCTTGAGTGACACTGTTTTATGTGGAAAGATCTAACTTGGGAGGCTGGTGTGGTTTGCACTGGCATTGCTGTTTGCACCTCTGAAGCCTGGAATGGAATAACCCTTGAAAGGAGGGAAATTACTGTTATTTTTATTTATGTCTTGCATTCTTTCAAAAGGTCATTGAATGAATCACACTTCTTTTGTCATCTGATATGTACTAATTTTGTAATCCAGATAGTATTTACTATGCACAACTTAAATATGGTATAAACAGAGTCCATTTGAGGGTATTTCAGTGGCGCAGATCTATATTTTTGCAACCTTTTCTATTTTAGCACTATTGACATTTAAAGGCCCTAATCTGGTACCTCACGTACTATCTGTACTTAAAGGGTATGCTCTTGGTTTTTACTATATATAATTAAGAGCTTGAATGTATTTATTTTTATATTTAACTTTTAGGTCTAATAATCTGTGAAAAACACTAAAGGCTAAAATTATGTGTTATATATAAATTATTTTTTTAAAGAAATTGCCTTAAACCCTTTTCAGATACCTTAATAAAAGAATGTAATGATAGTGGTGATGATGATAATTACAATAATATGTTAAACCCTATCAACTTCCCAGAAGAAATGAAGCTAGGCCAATGTTTACAACAAAATATATCTCAGATCTAATTGTGACTTGTTTGTGTGTTTATTTGTTTCACTGTGGATAGTCCCCAAATCCTTAAAGCAAAAATTTAGTTTGTGTTAATATTAAGCACTAAATATAGTCCCTGAGTCTGATGCTTACTGGCATGAATGTTCTAAGGGCATATATGGTGTGATGGTACCTTCCGACAAGAGAGGACCTCCGTGCTAGGATTCAGTCATATCATAGACCCACCAGGTAGCTTACGGGACCCAAGTTTTCCTTTAGCACTTCTTGTTCGTATTGTATATGTTTTTAACTTTAGTTTTAGTCCTTCATTTCCTTTTAGGTGCTTGTTCATAGGAATCATAAAATTGTTTTTGGGGGGCAGCAGGGATGGGGGTGTGCACGTCTGGGTGGCTCAGTCGGTTAAGCATCCAGCTTCGGCTCAAGGTCATGATCTCACAGTTCGTGAGTTCAAGCTCCGCATCGGATTCTATGCTGACAGCTCAGAGCCTGGAGCCTGTTTCAGATTCTGTGTCTCCCCCTCTCTCTGCCCCTCACCCGCTCGTACTCTGTCTCTCTGTTTCTCTCTTTAAAAAAAAATTTTTTTTTTAACCAATGTGAGAATCAGTTTACCTGTCATTGCAGTCCCTGAGATTAAGATCTGCTTTTGTTCTCTCTATTTTGCATTTTCCTTACTTGTGCTTTCTTTCTTCTGTTGTATGGACAAAGTGCTTTGCTGCACATTTGTGCTATCTGGCTGGTCATATCAATGGCTGGGTCAGGACTCTAGATATAGTTCCATAGTCTTTTGACATGGAATATTACAGAGAGTAGGAGGCTAAACCTTTTGCTTTTGTTTGCAAGATCTACTTTTTTGTTTTGATTTTTGGTTGATTGCTTGTGATGCTTTCTCTTTAAAATAGAGAAATTTTGGGGCGCCTGGGTGGCACAGTCGGTTAAGCGTCCGACTTCAGCCAGGTCACGATCTCGCGGTCCGGGAGTTCGAGCCCCGCGTCGGGCTCTGGGCTGATGGCTCGGAGCCTGGAGCCTGTTTCCGATTCTGTGTCTCCCTCTCTCTCTGCCCCTCCCCCGTTCATGCTCTGTCTCTCTCTGTCCCAAAAAAAAAAATAAACGTTGAAAAAAAAATTTTTTTTTAAAAAAAATAAAATAGAGAAATTTCATGTTTCTCTTTTGTTATTATTTTTTGGGGTACTCAGGCTTTTTAGTTTTTTTGTTCTTTTTTTCTTTTTAGCCTGAGAAATATTTACAAAATGTTCAGTTACTCTCTTACTTTGCTATTACTTTATTTTATCTCCACTACGTCTTTATACTTTGTATTTTTCCTCTCTGTATATGCTCTCTCACTATGGATTCTCTCTCCTGAACCAGATAAAGTGCCTCCAAACACTGATGGTGATAAGGATCATTGTGTTTAAGTTTTGCCGTCCTTAGCTACTTGGTGTCACAGGGTGTTGATGCGTTAGCCTGATAGTCAACTTCTGTCCCTTCTGCCCCTTCATGATACAGTTAGGTTTAGAGCATTGGCCATATATTTCCCATGAGGAAGACACCTACCCCTCAGACACATCCTTGCCACATTTCTGTCTGGCAGAAGTGGGCAGCCCAGGAGCTTTTAAATGCTGCTGCCCTACAGTGGTCCCATACCTGTCCCTCCTCTTATCCTCATCCTTCTAAAGTTAAGAACAAGCATGAGATTCTTCTAGAGGCACCTTTAGTTTTCAGCGATACCACATTTTCTCAGGAAAGGTAATCAAAGGGTGATGTCATAGCTTCTTTCAGTCTTTATCCCATCCATGCTCCTTATTTCCAGTTTCTAACTGTGTGGTAAAAGTCCTACTCCTCACCCTACTGAATTTGCCAGTAGAAGGATGGTAAGGTCAGGTATCAATGTTTATATTATCTCCATATGTAAATTTAGAGAGAGGGAGGGGTTTACCAATCAAGGAAGCAAACAAAATCAATCAGTAGTTCATCTGAACCTTGGCTTTGGCTGTTCCGCAGGCCTAACACTCATTTTTCTTTCATTTGCTTCATCATATCACTCTGATCTCAGTGCTCAGGACACAGCTTTGCTATGAGTTCGCTAACTCTCAGATGCAATTTCAAGTCCCCTTTTTACCACAGTAAACTGTGGTCACCCAGGGTTGGATTTTCAAATCAGACTCAGAGGAATCAGAGATCTTACCTAGTATCAAGTGCTGCTCGTCAGCTGCAGGGCACAAGTAAGAGGTCCCAGACTGCCACTGCTGCTCGGCAGACTCCTTCTGACTGCATTAGGGTGTGCTCTGACCCCAGTTCAACAGGTGAGGTCTCTAAGGGACATTTGCAGGCACGTCCCTTTGACAGGCACTGGTTCTGTCATGAGACAGCTCCATTTTATACTCTAAGAGCTACTTACATGCTTTTCTGAAGCCCTATCCTATAAATCCATAGCTTCCAGGATTTGTTTACCAACACCATCAAAACACACCGGGTACAATCTGCTAAAGTATTCATTCTGTAGCTGGACCCTCCAGCTAGCGTTAGCCGGGAGGTCTGTCATTTTCACGAGTACAGAGAGATCAGACTGGATCTCCCCATAAAGGAAAGGAAGACCTTTCAGGCATGATGCTGAGCATTTACTTCTCAAGAATGTACCAATTTTGTCTTTTTTTTTATACTTCCCTTTCTGCCAGTCATTAGATTCGACCACATGATTGATATGTCTAATTCATTAGACCAGTAGTTAGAAAAGAAGGAGAATGTAAATAACTGTATGTCCTGTTTTAATGCAAAATGATTGATGGTAATATCAAATAAAAATATGGCAGATATTTTACGAGTATCTACAATGATCATTTTTGTTATGTTATTTAAATAAAAGAATATGAAGATTATATTTTTCCGTTCTGTGGGTTACAAAGCATTACAAAATGACTTTCAACCAAATGCTAAAGACAGTGAAATCAACTCAGGCCTCAGTCCATTTGGGCTGCTATAACACAGTAATACAGGCTGGGCAGCTTATAAACAACATTTATTTATCACAGTTTTGGAGACTGGAAAGTTCAAGATCAAGGTACTAGCAGATTTGGGGTCTTGTTAGAGCCTTCTTCCTGGGTCATAGATGGTCCTCTTCCCACTGTATCCTCAAATGGCAGAAGGGACGGGAGCTCTCTGGAGGGTCTTTTTAAGGACGCTAATCCCATTCATGAAGCTCCACCCTCATGACCCAATTACCTCCCAAATGTCCCGCCTCCAAGTACCATCACACTGAGGCTTAAGTTTCCACATATGAATTTCGGGGATATGCATTCAGTGTAGAGCAGTTTATTTTTTATTAAGTCTATTAATCTACTCTTTTGGCATTCGATTATCAATTTTGCCTAAAGTATCTCTTACATTAAGTAGTGTACCTTATTTGATACCTCTGCTGAGTAGAATATCTCTTCTGAGGTTTGTGATATGTACGTGTTAGTCTAAGGCAAAGCATGAAATGTTGGTATGCGTAGTATACCTACCTTTTAGATAAATATCTTCCTAGAGTTTTTTTTTTTAAATACGGTTTATTTATTTATTTTAGTAATCTCCACACTCAACATGGGGCTTGAACTCACGACCCTGAGATCAAGAGTCACATGCTCCTCTGACTGAGCCAGATAGGTGCCCCAAATATCTTCCTAAAGTTTCAAAGAGACATAGAGGAACATTGAGCTTTAGATCAAACTTGGCCCAGCAGCCATCCCCACCGTCATTGTTTCTACTTCGCTTCCATCCAGACATGAGCCTCAGTGTGTGTGTGTGTGTGTGTGTGTGTGTGTGTGTGTGTGTATGTGTGTGTGATTTGTCTCCCTAGGGAGGACGAGCATGCCCTCATCCAGCAGTACTGTCAGACACTCGGAGGGGAGTCCCCGGTCAGCCAGCCCCAGAGCCCAGCTCAGATCCTGAAGTCGGTAGAAAGGGAAGAACGCGGAGAACTGGAGCGGATCATTGCCGACCTGGAGGAAGAACAGAGGTGTGTTCAACCTGGGAGAAGATTTGTGCCCCCTGGGCAAACTTCTAATGGGAGATTCCTTAATAATAACTTCAGTATGATGCCTACCCATTCTCTTTTCAGAAGTGGTTTCTAAGAAGTCAAGGTGGAGTCAAAATCTTATCGGGGATTAACAGACTGGGGCACTGGCTGCAGATTATGAACGTGAGGGTTCAGGGAACACTTGATTAAAGCTATAGCTTTGTCCTTGCTTACTCATCTCACTGTTTAATGTTTCTACCTGAGAAGAAGTCTCCTGAGCTCAATCTGAAGCTCGAGGGCAGTTTCGGAGAGAAAACTGTGCCCACAGTAGTAATTCCAGTTGTTCCTTTTCTGCACTAGAAACCTGCAGGTGGAATATGAGCAGCTGAAGGAGCAGCACCTGAGAAGGGGTCTCCCTGTCGGGTCACCTCCAGACTCTGTCGTGTCTCCTCACCACACATCTGAGGACTCAGAACTTATAGCAGAAGCAAAACTCCTCAGGCAGCACAAAGGTCGTCTGGAGGCCAGGATGCAGATTTTAGAAGATCACAATAAGCAGCTGGAGTCTCAGCTCCACCGCCTTCGACAGCTGCTGGAGCAGGTAGAGTGTGTGCACCTCGGTGGGGCTCCCACGCCCCCTCCCAGCCCGTCTCTGTCCCCGAAGCATGGTCCCAGCATCAGCAGAGGGGCTCACTCGCAGACTGTCACCTCCACACCTGATTAAGACTGGCTTAGGAATCCCTCTTCAGATGGAAGTATCACACCCTCCAATCGCTCAAAAAGTGGAGTTTCCCATTCTTTGGTAATGCTGAAATCTGTCTCAGCTCTGAGTACTTTAAAAGGAAAGACCCTGTAACATACATCTGCATACATTACATGTGGGAAACTCTGTGGAGGTTAAGGGGAAGGAAGTGATCTGAACTGTTCAAGCGAAAGCCTTTCTTCCAGTGAGCTCTTTTCAAGAAATTAAGTAACAGATGTTTATTAATGTGCAGCTATCATTTCCTAACACTGGGCCATGTTTTATGGCAATTTGTATACTTTCTTGACGATAAGAAATAGAATTTACATTATGATGAATGCACACCTGTATGGCAAATACAAAATAATTATTATAAAGAAAGGCTGTCTCTTATTTTCCACTTTTAAATTTCCTTCCTTTCTTCCTTACTCCCCGTGCCTGCCTGCCTTCTATCCTTCCTTCCTTCCTTCCTTCTTCCTATCTTCTTTCCTGTGTTCTCTTTATCTCTACGTCCCTTCCATTTTTTTTCTCTCTCTCTTTCTTTGTGCTGGTCAGCACCTACCAAATCAATTTTATAGCTCATCAGTGGGTAATAGCCCACAATTTTGAAAAATACTGTCCTTTGAGACATAAAAGAGGCATCAGACGGAGTGTTTTGGTGCTTGCAGTCTTATTAGGGACCAAGACAAGATAGTACAAAATATAACAAGATAGTACTGCACATAGAGATACAATGCCATAGAGAATTAAGTACTTGATTACATCTAGCAGTTAAAGAATGGGAGTCATGCCACAGAACTAGCATGAAGACGCCTTGGTAACAGGTGCATATTGGGTAGAATCCCCACAGATGGGGCTAGACTTTCTCTTTCCTGAAAAATCTATGACACCAACATTCATGTCATCTTTTGCCTTTTTCTCTGGACTGTAGAGTGTGGGGCCCCAGGCAGTGACTAGGCATGCCTTTCTGCAGAAGTGATTTATCCAAAGACAGAAACAACTTTTTCTCCAGTGGTTTTCTCAAATTTCAGAAAAACACCTTGTCATAGTTGCTGTCAGTATCTTTTAACTTGTCAGAATCATTCAAAACAGTGTAATTTCTGCATTACCTACACAACAGGCCACAGATCACCCCTTTTGACCATATAGTTTTCTGTATGTGTGTCACTGTTTCGGAATTTATATTAGACTGTTTTGGGGAAGGCTTACTTTGGGCCTCCAAAGGGTGCCCCATTAGAAAACAGTAGTACCCCTAGAGTGCCCCAAAGCCTGGCTTTCTTTGAGTCCTTTGGAATATTTGAATCCTCCTCCCTGCCAGTCACATACACTGGAAAAGCTACATATACTCTACCAGTGTGAATTTGAAGTTTCCCCGTGGTGGAAAGGATGAATTTTCTCTTGAAATCTCTGATTTATATGATATGAAGTATTATCATTAACCTAGTGCTGATTATATGATATGAAGTATTATCATTAACCTAGTGCAGCGATGGAATCATTGCAGAAACGAAACAATCTTTATTTGCCAGAGCCTGTTGGAGAGCTAACGGCTCTTCTGCATACGCACACTCCGCACCCTCCCCCTGACTCTCACCACCCCATTAGACAGAGCTGCCTAATGGCTCATGTGCCTCCAGAATTGCACAGTAATGCTTTTAGAGATAGCTGATATCTAAATGGCTTTGTGTATCCCAGACTGTGGACCTCTTATCTCTTCTTAATGACTTAGCATGAATGCCAGAAGTAGATGGAAAATTTACCTGATAGTAAAAACTGGCAGAGCCTCCAGACTTCAACTAATATAAATCTAATGGAAAAGCCGCCATCAAGAATATTGTAATTTCTGCACTCCCTGGAAAATGAATCGCGCTTTCTAATTTGACTATGTACTTGTCAATTTATCCATCACTATTTCAAAGCTTTGTGCAGAGTGCATTTACAAAGTGTTTTCTAGGTGTCAGATCCTGTTCTGATCTCAGAGGAAACACTAACTGAACACCCTCCTCACAAAATCCTCTAACACAGGCAATCGTTTCACCGTCTGTCCCCAGTTTACAAATAAAGAATCCACAGCACAAGAGCACCTGGGTGGCTCAGTCAGTTGAGCATCCAACTCTTGATTTCAGCTCAGGTCAAAATCCCAGGGTCGTGGGATCGAGCCCCACATCAGTCTCTGCACTGAGCACAGAGCCTGCTTGGGATTCGCTCTCTGCTCCTCTCTCTAACTTGCATGCTCGCTCACTCTCTAGAAAGAAAGAAAGAAAGAAAGAAAGAAAGAAAGAAAGAAAGAAAGAAAGGGAAAGAAAGGAAAAGAAAAGAATCCAAGGCATAGAAGGTTATAAAATTTGCTCAGGCAGGTACTGAGTGGTGGAGTTTGAATTCAAGCATGTGAATCCAAAATTGTGTTCTTAAGTCTCTAATACCACATTGAAATATTGATTTAAATAAACAAATGAGCTGATTTTGAAATTGGATAAATTTACTGTATGAGAAGCAGTGCTTGTTTTTTTTTACAGATGAATGAAACCTGTTTCTAGATTCACTTGGTTGACATAAAAATAATAGCACAATTGAGGGATGTAACTGACACTGAAAAATAAATCTTGCATTATAACCAACTGAGCTGTTCAAGGAGCCCGAACTGAAGGGAGCAGACCACCCAGTATTCAGCTGAGATCGTAGTGAACCCACCAGACTGATGAAAACATGTGTTCTGAATGTCTGAGACCAAAGAACTCTACATGTCTCAGTTATCCATGGAAGTAAGAAACAGAAACATGTTATTTGAATTCTTCCTCTGCCTTAACATCTGCATGTGATTGCAGCCAGAATCTGATTCCCGAATCAACGGTGTCTCCTCCTGGCCTTCACCTCAGCAGGCTGCACTGACCTACTCGCTGGATCCAGACCCTGGCCCACAGTTCCACCAAGCAGGTAGGTGTCCTTAAGACCCGGCCAACTCCCCCGCTCTGCTCTATGCTTCGCCATTGGTTGGTTTTTCATTTTCAACTGTGTTCTTACTCCCCGATACCTTAGAGCAGAAAGGAGTTTCATACTCTCTTCGTGCTCAGCTGCGTACAAAGACATTTTAACAAGACCAAAAAAGCAAACATTCCAGAATAAGAATCTATAATATATTTGCTTATATACTGTGTAGTAGTGGATTGAATTTTGGTGAAAGATGGAAAAAAGTACTCTTTTCGTTTGGGGATGAGCAACAATTTAATTTTGGCCTTGCCTTCAGAGTGATTCTTTTTTTAAAGTAAATTTTCTGTCTTTAAAATTTATATTTATACGTATTCAGAAAATAATCCTAAAGTATATTATATACCAAGCGTGGTTTTCTCTGCCCAGGTCTGGTAATGAATATTCTGCTTTTTCCATCCTCATCCCTATAGACATTGCCACCCTTCCTGCCCCTGTCTGAGGCCAAGGTCTCACCCAGCCTATTATTGGTCACAAAGGGGACTTGTCACCTCTGCTAGGAAAGCCTCTGTCAACCAGTATTCAGGAATGGCATTTTGTTATTGATGAAATTTAAGTTCTGAAATTCTACTGAAGACCATATATTTTAACCAAATTAATTTGTTTCTAAGATATCTTTTGCTGCATTAATCAGAAGGAAACCTAAGGTATTAATATTATCTGAATTGTTTTAAAGAAGTGAATTATTTTGCTCTTGGTTATAGAATAAAAATCAAGGTAAAAAGTATCTTCAAAACTACCTCTAGATTTGTAGCAGCATAAGCTAGTCCATGCCAAAGTCTCCAAGAAGAAAGAAGGAAGGAAAAAGAAACTGGTAGAATATTTTTTATATAAAAAAACATTTGGAATGCAAACTAATGGAATTTCATCTAACAAATTGAAATAATATGACCACATTAACTTATTTTTCACTCATAAGTTTTCCCTTGGCACATGGAATCTTCCTACAGAGACATCTAATGCATTTTATTTATATGAAATTATATTACCAACAAATTGATACAAAAATGGTTTTAATATTATTCCCCAAAATTGTCCTTTTCATAGAGTCTTATTTTCATGTTGATATTTAGAGGCCAGGATTAGGGTTTTTCTCCCAATGTTGGGTTTTGGTGGAAAGCTGGATGTTCATTTCGGAACATCTATTGTTTTGTTTCTCTGCTGCCCCAGCGGCGGAGGACCTGCTGGCCCCCCCCCACGACACCAGCACGGACCTCACGGAGTTTATGGAGCAGATCAACAGTACATTTCCATCTTGCTGCCGTGAGTATGAAAGACCCCAGCACTACCACTCCACCTTCCCTTCCATTTCTTCTTCCCTGCTTGGCGCCCTTTGTCTTCTTTGGTAAGATAACAAAAGCCGCTATTAGAAACAGGATTGAATATGGTTTGAAAATAAATCAAACATTCCGTATGTCGACCAAGCAAATGAAGCTCAGCCTAGATACCATCGCGTCACTGGCTGTGGTGATGGTGCTGCTCTCTGAGAGGTTTCTGTTGTGCCTTCTGAAGGATAACATGAAGGCAAACCAAACAAGTTGCTTTGTAAGAAGAAGTTACCCTCTTCAGTGCAAACTGTAGTACGAAATGTGTTATTACCTCAAAAAAGAGCTTTTAGCACCCAACAAGGCATGAAAATGGTCTTTTCTGATGTAATTCGCTCTCTCCCTCTTTTTAAGATTTTATTTTTAAGTAATCCCTGCCCCCAACATGGGGCCCAAACCTACAAGTGAGATCAAGAGTCAAGCTCCACTGACTGAGCCAGTCAGGCACCCCCACTCTCTTTTCTTTGAGGTCATCAGATTCAGTTCTGGGAGGGGATTATTTTCGGATATTTTTTCTCTTGTTTTCTTTCTTCTGGTTTCTCTTCTCATGGAATGAAACAGTCACTGCATAAAGGCCAAATAATTGAAGGCTTCACAGATTATGACCCTGTGACTTTTCCATATGAACAACCAAGAGCCAGAAAATAATCAAATGAAAGCAGTCCAACTCCCAGAGGAAATTACATAATGTTCTTATTTATTGATTTTCCCCCCCAAACTTTTTAAATTCATTCTCGTCATCTCAAGGTTTCTACTGAGCTCTCACTTGGGCGGTTTCAAAGGGAAGCTGTGCACTTGAATGCATGCTAACTACTTAATGCCGCAATTTATCCTAAATAATCTTTTAAAGAAATTCGAATATGTTATTTATAACTTTTAGGGTGATTTCCACTCAAGTTGATTTTTAAATCTAGGCAGCCATCGAAGTAAGATGTTAGTATGTATGTATACCACTGTAGATATTGGATATATGTTATATATGGTAGTACATATATAAAACTGCTTCCCATCTCTCCCCTTTTCATGCTGTCCTCAGCAAATACCATCCTAAATGATGAAAAAAGGCATCACCAGGAAGGTAGTTAAGTAAGATATATTGACTTCATTAAAAAATATGCTTCAACTTCTACAATTCTGCAGTTTATAAAAATGCCATCATTAGCAGGGAGTGGAAATAGCTCTTTGAAATATAGTCTTCCCTGAATTTTCAGAAGTATTTTCCTAAAGGACATAGTACAGAATTCTATAAGCACATAAATATATTTATATTTGGGAATGTGTCATTTTCCAGTTATTATCTGTGATTATAGTTCTCAATGTTTCTTGAATTGTATTTATTATAGGTCAGTCCCTACACTATAAAACATTGCCCCCAAAAACATTGCCCAAGTGTGCAAATGTGTATGTGCACATACACACACATACACGTGCACACATACTTTTTTGGCCTTCTGGAGTCTCACAAAGGCTTCAGAGGGTCACTTGAAGCCCCTACACTATCAGATTGTTGCCTGTTTTCTAGGTGCTGTAACAGCCACAGTAGATGAGCAGATCAAATCTTTTATATTAAGGTTGAATTTTCCAGGGATTTTTATTCTGAGTTGTATGTTATTTAATGGCTAGATAAAACCTCATCTTAGTCACTATAAAAGACAGAATTTCAAGATTAAATTTCTAAATGAAATTACTTCTTAGTTCAGCTTAAATCCAAATACATTAATAATTAGTTAGGAACAAATTCTGCAAATCAAAGCCTATTTATAAGTTTGCATTTAAATGTCATGATGGACATGTTCAATTTAAAAGTCAGTTGGCAGTGAGTTAGGATGGGAAATATGTTTAATCAAATGCTTTACAGTGTCTATAGATGTATAATTTCCACATTAAACTTTTTAAATATTTATTTATTTTGAGAGAGAGAGACAGAGTGAATTGGGTAGGAGCAGAGAGAGAGAGGGGGAGAGAGAGAATCCCAAGCAGACTCCACATTGTCAGTGCTGAGCTGACATGGGGCTCAATTTCATGAACCATGAGATCATGACGGGAACCAAAATCAAGGTCTGAAGCTTAACCGATTGAGCCACCCAGGTGCCCCTAAATTTTTTATATTAAAAATTCATGGTGTTTTTTTTTTAACAGTTTGTCACAAAACAATTACTCTTAAATATTTTCGTAGTATATTCTTCTATGTAAATGTTATAAAAGTCTAATCTGGCATATTTTAGAAGAGAATATAATTAAATGTAAATAATCATAATTATAAGGCAAAATGAATAAAAAAAGAAATGAGTATGCTGCTTCGGAGTGTGTCTCCTCCTCTTTCTCTGTCCCTCCCCCCCTCACTCTCTGTCTCTGTCACTCGAAAGGGAATAAATGTTAAAAAAAAATTTTTTTTTTTTACTCTCCAAGATAGGGACAGCTTTCCCTTAAAAAAAAGTCTTATTTATAAAATTGATACATAGTTTTAAAAATTGTGTCTAAAGTTATTAAACCTTTTAAAAATTGTTGCAGAAAAGATATAGCACCTGACTTAGACTTTGTGCCCAGTACATGTTTCTGAATTGAATGAATGCATGAATAAATACATTTTCTAACAGGAAGGTTTAGTTGGTAAAGTTTCCCAAGATAGTATACAGAAGGTTTGCAGGGTTCATTTGCTTTCTTGCCTCTTTTAAGTTGCTCAGCTAGCAATATTTTAATAAACTTTTGCATTCCCAAAGCTTCCTGACCACCCTTGGAGGATTTCTCTAAGCAAATCGGATTGGCACTCTCCCAATGCCAACCCAATCCTGTTACTAATGAGAGCTTTAAAACTGCTTGTCACCAGCATACAATGAATTGATCTGCATGTTAATCTTGATTTTTGATCTTTTGTGGATTAACAATTAGCATGGTCACAAGTGAATTTACACTCCGGGCAGTCCTGGAATTAAAATGAAACTATAATCATAAATCCTAATTGCATGAATTGCCTACTTAAACATGGCATTTTTGTGTGTGTACCTATACATTGTTGTGCATAACACTTTAGAATTTCTCTGTCTCAAATTAATATACCCGTTGTTCCTGATAGCATCCTTGAATTATGGCCTTTTAAAGTCTTCGTTTAATTATTTACATGAAGTTTCAGAGCAGAGAGGAAGGCATTTTCATCTTTTCCTGGCAAGGCGTTAATGAAGGGAATTTGTGTTGTCTGTTAACTAATGTACATATTAAAATTTTCACTAACTGCTATAAGTGGGTTTTTTTTAATGTAAAATCCTCTCCGTGTTTTCATTTATGTCATCCATATATAGAGGATATGAGAGGATTTGGGGCCGATAGACCAACAAATGCTTTTAAAATTATTTTTTATCTACAGGCATATTTTCACAGTGAGTTGCCTGTGTTTATTAAACTTGAGTGGCATTCATCACAAACTCAAAACCTACTAAAATGCAAGCATTTCCTGGTTTCTTTTAAAAATATATGGGCGCAGTTTGTTCAGGGGAGTACCGTAACCTTTTATTTGATAAGAATCTATAGGGCTCATGATGCTGATTTGGAGCAACGTGGCTTCAGTTTTGGTTTGGGTTTAGCTGTGCGTTACGAGTAAGAGAAGTATAGTAAGAGAAGCGTGTATAATAAGAGAAGTGTAAGTGCGTGTGGTGTCCTTGATATTTGTGCAACAGAGCGCTCCCTCAGCGTAGCTCAGTGGGAAGGATGCCCACTCATGTTTTCCTGCTATGACCTATGCATCTGGCAGGACTAGGCTGGCTGGATTTTAGCCTACTTCGTCCCCTCCAGGCATCATAAAGTTGCCCTTCTCGTTCACTCTGATTTTCTCACAAAGCCCCCACTATGTGGTCATGGATGTTTTTTTTTTTTCCCCTTCAGCACAAAAAGATGAGAGATGGAAGGAATGCAACATGCTAGATGATGAGGGACGGTTCTTATTTGACCAGATGTCCCCATCAACGGGGGTGCAGAATATCCTCTGACCCGCCTGCCCGTGTCCGCCCTCACAATGTCCCCTGGGGCATCCACACTTTTGTAACCAGGAAGGAATTCGAGCTGCTCAGCAGCAAGGGCGAATCAGACCCCATATAACGACTTCTCCAGTGCTCTCAGCTGGGCCCCAACAAGGCACAGTGATTAGCCCAACTATCTAAAGACTGTGGGAATTTGGCCAGCCCTTTGAGGCAAGCACATTGCCACCAGCTTCCTAGACCCCTGGGGCGAGCGTGAGCCAAGGGGGGCAGAAACTGAACACTCGTGCCCCTTCACTTCCCGAATCACCTGCTGGTCAGAATTTGTACTAGTTAGCAAAATATGCACACTTGCTCTGTTCGGATACATAAATCAAATACATGGCGTGATTTCAAGAGGAAATTTTGAATTTTTTTTCAAAACAAGTTATTTGCTGAATGCTTCGGTACGGACTTATCTGAGAGAGCCAGCATATGTTTTGCATATTTTGGTAGAATTTTTATATCTTCTAGGACATAGGATATGAGAAACTAGGGGAAAGAAACTAGTCTTTGTTAAAGCATCTAGCCAGAAAGAAAGAGAGAGAGAGAGAGAGTAAGTGGAAGGGAGGAAGGAAGGAAGGAACCAAAACTTGTTTCTTATTTTCTTATTAGCACCCATTTAACAGCTGGGAGCCATACACTCCACACTTTTGCTTGCCTGAGAGGGGGAACCAGCAAAGCAACCCTAGCGCCTTCAATTGACTTCTTTTGTTTTCTCTTTCAGCCAATCTCCCCAGCAAACCACAGGTAAGCGTTAATGGGTTGATTGGCTCAGGTGTTGTCGATTACAACAGGGAGTAAGCAGATTAGCTGCTTTTGATTTGAGTGCAGATTTCATTCCCCATGTAACTTAGTAAACTTGCTTGACGTTTAAATGTTAGTTAATTCTGTACAACAGTTTGTCAGTCTGAGGAGAGGGAACCCTTCCCAAGCCAGTTCTTCCAGATGCCCAAAATACCAAGTGCCTGACCCTTTGTGTTCTAACAGCTTTTTAAGGGCCGAAAATACACTATGCAAAGTTACCCTGGGTGGATTTGGCTGACCACTGTTCTCCCAGATATGTACTTACGGTCGCTATCACAGAACATTAACTTAAAGCAGTGACTGCAACGGTACACAATGTGGTTTTGTTACTTTGAGAGGGAAAACATTTTGATTCTTCATTTAAAAATTTGCTGAGGTTGGGGAGGGGAAAATTTGCTGAGAAATGTTGGCAGCTTTGGCTTTATACCTTTCAGTGTTTTCCTTATCAGGTGCTTTTAGTACTAATGAGCCATAAGACCATAGTAAATCTTGGGAGAACATGTTCTTTCATGAACTTGTTTATTCTGACTGTGTTATTATCTTGATGGCAAGAGGGGCTGGGGTCTTAAGGAGAAGCACAGACAGTTGGTCTTTAGGACCTGGAGGGAAGAAAAGGAGATCTCAAGCCAATTAGCAGGTGTGATGTGAGAGGTCAGGAGATGGAAGGACTTCATCTCCATGAAGAATCATCTTCCGATTGCTTGTGTTGTCTTAGTGAATCAGAAGCCAGGGCTTCAGCAGAGAGTGAGGACAGGAGGAGGTGTCAGAGGTGTGAGGAGAGACTGGAGGATGTGCCATAGCTGCTTGGAGATCGGGAAATAACAGGGAAATAGTGTGACTGCAAGGCAACGTTGAACATGACTTACGGTGCCTCCTTGTGAACGGCCGGCCTGCAAAGGTTGTGTGTTGTCTCCTGGCCGCCACGTTCAGGTTCATAAGCACAGGCACCAGAGTTGGGCTGAGTGTTGCATTTAACCAGAGTTGAAGTTTTGGTTTGGCCAAGAGAGTACAACAATTCAAGGGAAGAGGCAAAGGTATGATGATGATTGAACAAAGTATCGAAGCTTGTAGGGAAAGAAGTGATGATATGTTAGGTGCAGGAGACAGAAAAAAAAGGGGGGGGGGAGCAATGGATTGTGGTAGCAAAGGGTGGATGGAGTTGGGGTCCTAATAGAAGTAAGTGAGAAAGTAAGGTGGTTGTCAGAGGCAGGATGATTGAGATTGGAAGTGTTGGAGGGGGTGAGGCATTGGTGATGGTCCATTTGGAACTTTGAGTGCCTGACAAGGGTGGAGGACACATTCTCTGGAGGAGAGGAGTTCAAGGAACTGAGAGGCCAGATTTTTGGAAGAATCATCTATGTGGGCAGTGAAATCACTAGGATTTAAACATAGTTTTAACATGATGACAGTGAGCCATTCTTCAAGAAGTAAGGGAACATGGCCCAAGGGGTCAGAAGATGACTACAGAGTGGGTGGTATAGTCTAATGGCATGGGATTCAAAGTTGGGTGGAGAGAGAGAGAGAAAAGGGCCTGAAAAAACACAACGTGGACCTAGAAAGGACGTATCCAATACATGAAGAGTGTGGGAGATAGAAAACAGTCGTATGTGAGACGGTTGTGGAGGAACCTGTGTCTTCAGGGGAGATCCAGATATTGATGCATTCAGAGAAGAATTGACGGGCGTGGGTTTTAATGATGATGGATCCAACTGTATGACCTTCCCTTCAAAACATTGATGCCACTCCCTTGAGTGTGACCTGGATGTATATCCTCTCTTGCCTACGTGTACTGGCCCTGGTCCATTAACTGGCACCACTGCACACCCTTAAACTGTGATTCATGTCTTTCGTGCCTCTTGTCTGGACCCCAGCTTGGGTCGGAGACCGGTTGGAATTGTGGAGGATCCCCCCTCAGCCACAGACCTCCCACAGTCCCCCAGGGAGAGATGGAGTGCTTGCACCAGCCTAATTCACTCATCTTTGGTACCTCCAGCAAGAAAAAGCTGAGTGCTCTCTATTTTCACTTGGTTTCCAGCCTGGGCAAGAGAAAAGTCTTCCAAACTTCCTCTACACTGGCTGCAATGATAAAAAGCAGACTAGATGCCTTCGGGATGAAAGAGAAAGACCTCATCCCAGGGAGCAAAAGTCACATGGAAGTAAAGGGTCCCCTTTGAACACAGCCAAAGGGGCTGTGAATAGTTGTGAAAGAAGTACTTTTATTTCTCAGAAGAGTTGACAGGTCTCTGCTACCTGTAATGTTCTGTGTAAATGTTGTTCTGACAGCACTGTTTCCCTTCCCACAGGCAATGTGAAGTATTCATCTAGCCAGTCAACATTTCCTGACTTAACAGTGTTGCCCTTTTCAGCAAATGCCAATTCCGAGTTCCATTTAATCAGAAGCTCCATGGCTCCTTGAAACATGCTGTTGAGCGCTGACTGTGTGTTCTACTGAAGGAGTAAAACACTGACTATCCAAAGAGAAAGGATATTTTGTTTTTATAATAATCATATATTATTGGGTTTTTTTTTTGTTCTTCCCTTTCTATGCAACTGTAAATTAATGAACAGAGTGGTATTTGGAAATGGTATTACATTTGTCACTGATTTGTATACTGTATACAGCATTGGGAAAGTGGGTGGGGGCTTTCTAATATGATACCTTCTTGTTATTAACCATAACAAAAATTGCATAAGAATTAGAAAACAGTGTTACATTTTTACATTCCTTTATATTAACCTTGTACAATAACTTCATTTATTTCTTCCGCTCTTTTACCATTATGTTTTGGTTATTTATAATTCACCAGCCACATGACCACATAGATTTCCTGTATTCATTTCCATGATTTGGCCAAATTAATAAGTCATATATTTCAATTAAATATTTATGTATATGAATTAGGCTACATCTCTTACATACCACTTAACTTTATTTGACATCATACTTAGTGACCACTTGGAAAACCACAGTAAAAGTCCTGTGGGCCTAACTGGCATTCCTACTGGGATTTGTTTCCAGCATTTTATTTCCCTGCTCCATGTAATAAGTAGATCTTGATTTCTTTATTTATTTCATGTCCCCGTATATATGATAGAGGAGACTTAGAACAGCATTATAATAATCTCAAAGATCATTTTTACCAAAGGTTGCTCATTTAAGTATATTCTCATTTGGACACAGAAAGAGAACATGGGATAACATTTCCTTAGTTGCTAAGTCTTGATTTTCATCATTAAATACACAACAGACCTTTACTTAATCGTGCTACCAGAACACATCTTTGTCTCGAATTCCCTTTGAAGAGAATTTTATTTTGTTTACGTATACTCAAGCCATTTGTAATTCTTGAAACTCCCAGTTCTTTTCTTCCTGACAGCAGACAAATTCAATGCCTGTTTCATTTTACCTTTTGGATGAATGATTACATCTTTTATTACTTTTCATTTGATCAGTATATTTGGAAAGGATGTTTATCAAAAGCCCGTGTCACTGCTTCCATAGAGGAATAAAATTATGCCTAGATGGTGGTACCCCTGCCTTTGAGTCAATGCTGTTAGGTATTTGGTTTGGCTTCTGATTTAACATTTAACTGATTCAGTTGAAACGTGTTATGTAATTACCAAATGTAGAGAAACCAAAAAAGAAAGAAAGAAAGAAAGAAAGAAAGAAAGAAAGAAAGAGAAAAAATCACGTGTTTTGATTCAAGCGTATGTGCATTTAAAACATCAGGACATTTTAACTTTGGGTTCTCTTGAACTGGGATTTGGCCAGAAGGAGGCTTAAAGTTAGAAATTGCTATTCTTTTAGAATAGGTGGGGTGGGTTGGGGGGCAAGGGTGTCTATTTGCAGCATAGATATTTTGAGAAGAAAATTGTTTTATATAAGAGGAAAGCCATGACCACCTTTCTACCTCAGATGCATCTTCATCCATTGTGTTGGAAATAGCTTTATGCCGCTGCGGTCTGCAAAATCTAGAGCTTTTATCGGGCCACATCACACCCAAGAAAAGCACCTGTTGAAAGAAAAAAACTTTCCCTGAACTCTGAGCGACAAGTTGTAGATTTGGTGTCTTCCTTGTTCTTACTTTGAAAAGTTACGTATTAATTTTTTTTCTGCCTGTAATTGTGTGCAACATGTCTTCTATCTGCTATTAAGGAAAAGCTACATAAAACACTACATTGTAACCTTCTAAGTAATAATAAATAAAAATATATATATATCACAGTAACAACAAGGGGAAATAAGTATGTAGTTCTTTTGAAATATGTGGTAAAGAACTAATCATAGACTATCATCTAATCTGGTTACATGTTGTATTTTTCATCCCGAATAAAAGTAATTTTAACACAAGATGACTTTGATATTCTTCAGCTGTGTTCATTGAGAGACTCTGAGCTTTGAGTGTACATTTATGAAAATAAAATACGAAAAGAGCCTGTATAATGATAAAGCTATTATTTTCTTCTGTTTTCTCTCCTACACAACGAATGCATTCTTCCTCTTGTTCTACTGTCTTTCTGTGTGTCCCTCTCTTCTCTATTATTTATATAATTCTCAGTTTCCTTTACAGATAGAAAGCTTATAGATAGGGAAAAATAATGTTGGGTGTTAAAAACATACACATGAAGCCTATCAGGCTTTTGTTTTAATAACTTGGATGCTGTTGTATTTACTTGATTCCTCTTCCAAATCCACTTAGCCGCATGCCCTTAAATAATGTGCTTTTTATATATGCACTGGGTTTTAACCATTCTGGTAGTAAGTTTAATCCATTCCTGAAGCCATCCTGTGGGAAATAGTGTTGAAAATTGTATTACTTGATTCTAAAAGTAAAAGCTACCTATGAAATAGAAAAATCCCCAAACGTGTAATTTGTTAGAATAAAACAGATACATTCTAAGGAACATGCATTGTAAGCATCCTGTTTACCCCAAAGTAATAATCACATTAAGCATTCCTAAGGAAACAATTGTTAAGTCCAGTAACCTGTTGAGTAGGTAATTGGAAAGGGAAGTGGGAACACAAAACAAAGTATTGTTTTTACACTTAGCCTTTAGCTTGTTATTTCTGTCTATCCTTGAGATTATATGTACATTTTTTTAAGCTTATTTATTTATTTTGAGAGGGAGGGAGGGAATCCCAAGCAGGCTTTGCACTGACAGCACAAAGCCTGATGTGAGGCTCAAACTCATGAACCATGAGATCATGACCTGAGCCAAAACCAGGAGTCAGACGCTTAGCCGACTGAGCCACCCATGTGCCCATGTACATTTTTAAAGAATGTAGTTCGCCCTTGGTTTTCTCCCTGCCGCCCCCCATTCAACTGTTTCAGTCAACCAACTATTTCGGTGGCGTTTCTAAATTCATTAGTTGAAACTTTAATGCAAACACAGTAAAACACCACTAACACCACACTACCCAGCACTCTAGATAAGATCCAAATACTTCATTCCATATGATATTAGCTAGTGTTTTTGTGAGGTTAATTAAGTGATAGGAGTGAGCCCTTGATGGAGGTCAAGAGCCAGTTTCACTTGTGCTATGTCCACTCCCTGGGGTATTAGTTATCTGCTGGCACGCTAATTGGTGCGGCAGCCATAAAATCTCAATAACAAACATGGCTTTAGCCCCTGGGATGTGAGATTCAGCTGATGGGGGAGGACTTCTCTTGCCCATATGTCTGGGGTTGACTGGTTGCTGAGTGGCATCGGGTGGCCAGTCTGGATTGTTGCAGCAACCCAGCCGGCTTCTTTCACCCACTACTGAGCTAACTGGGTATATTCTCATACACTGACCCAAGTATGGGTGTGCAAATGGAGGGCTTTGCTGAGAACTGGCACACCACCACTTGTACTAAATTCTGGTGGTGAAAGCAAATTGCAAGGCTAGGTATGGAGACTAGATCCCAGTTCTTTAATAAGAGCAATTGCAGAGTTACTGAGGGTGTGACTATAGAGAGGGGCCATCAGATTTCACTGTATGAGCTTCGAGGTAGATAAAGCAGGGGACATAGGCCAAAATATTACAGTGTCCATTTCCTTGGGCATTATGTCCACTGTCTCAATGGAATGCGAAATGAGTGGACTCTATACAAGGCATTCTGTTTTTTATTATTATCTTCATTTTTGAGAGAAAGCATGTGTATGAACTGGGGAGAGGAAGAGAGAGAGGGAGGCACAGAATCTGAAGCAGGCTCCAGGCCCTGAGCTGTCAGCACAGAGCCCTATGTGGAGCTCAAACTCAAGAGAGATCGTGACCTGAGCCGAAGTCGGAGGCATAACCAATTGAGTCACCCAGATGAATACAAGGCATTCTTATAAAACAAAGGTCAAGAAGATCATTCCCTCCTCCCCAGGCTACCAATTCAATTTCAGAAAGAAACACGTGTAGGAAAACTTAGCATATCTCTGCCCAACCTTCTATGGGAGGAGACCTCAGGACTGAAACTAAATTTAGGAGGAAAAAGAAAGAAAACAGAAAAAACCTAGATGAAAAATGGAATAAAAGGGATATTGTTTTAAACTGCTCAAAAGGTTTGTTCAAGCTGAACTGTTAATTTTTAGATGGAAGAACACACAACACATAGAAGGTTCTTCACTTTGTCCAAATGAGTAGGGCACATGCCCTATTGTGCCCCTGCCAAAGCATTTGTTTAGAAACATAGTTTATTTGCACTTTCTATAAACTTAACCGACCTGGCCCTAATGTCTAATTTTGAAGACATTCCAAGTGGTGACATAGTTTCATATTTTAGAATATTTGCAGTGTATGTTCGGCTTCAGATATTCTCTTACAGCTTATTTTTTGGGGACTCTTTTGAATTTTATATGTGGGTAATTAGGGAAAATTAATTGACAGTTTCCCTCAGCCTAGCTCTGTTCTCTTCCAGGGAGCACAAATGTTGAATTCGTAATTAAATGAGATGAGTTCCCAGCCTGCTATGGGATGTAATTACAATTAGTTCCTGATATTACTTTTTTTAGGCCACTTTTCAAAAATATTAGAATACTGATTTTTAAATTTTTACTTCAATTATTTTTTAAATTTACATAAAATAAAATGACATTATAAAACTGTTGGAAAGAATGGAGTCATTCTAGTGTAAATCTGACCCAAGTGAGCCTATCAAAATTGAGAACAGTCTGATTCATTCTACCCTGTGAATTTCACGAG